ACTGAAATTTTGTGTTGATTTGATTTCTTTGCTTTCTTGATACTGTTCTAATTGTTTGTTTGAAAATTTCTCTCCCGAGTTCTAAATTGATTTACATACATGATTAAATTCAAAATACAATGTGCTTGTGTCCTTGAGAGATGACCTATGTTAAGTTCTCTATATTACAGAAATTTGTTGAAGAACCTAGAATTGTTTGATAGTGATACGACTTAGCTATCAGATATCACTCTAGTTTAAAAATGCAAAGCCATCCTTTCAAGCTTTGAAGTAGTGATATATATTTTCCTGTAGAATTTGGTTGTTGCAAGTGTTTGTTGAAGCAGATATAGTTGTTCATGACTAGTTTGCTTTTTCATTTAATGCTCAAGATCTTGCATTAAATATTTCTTCTTGTTTATAGACATTGCGTAAAGTCTTCTTTGCCTTGTTAGCAGCTTTGTCTGAATTTAATAGAGACCTAGGAACCTTTTTGTCTTTTCCCGGTCGCGTAGCTGTAGAGTGTTGTCCTTATCTGAAAAAGAGATGTACTTTTTCTGACATATGCATGCTTTTACTTTTGCGTGCTTTTCTTCTTCTTCTTCTCTTCCTTTGATCATGCGTTTACGTTGAGAGCTTTCATTTGATCATAGACGATGCCTGAGTTGCCCTATGAGACATGATTCCTTGTTTTCTTTCATGGCATTCTTCGTCTGTTAATCCTATCCGTCTCAAGTCTTGTCCTTCGTTTGAGTATTTGGCATTAACGCTTTGACTTCTTCTTGGTTTGGTCAACGCTGTAGATGGACAGACTTTGTTTTCATCTGGAATATCTTCAGTCTGTGTTGTCCTTAGTCTGATATTTTGTTGACTTTCTTCTCCTCTATGACCAACCTTCGTCCGGTCATCTGTGTAGATAAGAAATTTCTGACGGATTTATATTTTCGTCGGAAATTTCTAACGGAAATATAAATCTGTCGGAAATTTCTGACAGAATATTCCGTCGGAAATTTTTTGTCAAAAATTTTCGACAAATTTATTTTTCCGTCGGAAATTTTCGACGAAAATTTCCGACAGATCCATATCCGTCAGAAATTTACATTTTTCTTGTAGTGATCTTTTTATTTTAGTTTGTTTTCTCTTATAACAAAAAAATGTAAAATGAACTAATAGGTCATATCTAACTTTTAAAAATGTCATATTAGCTTATTAAAAAGTTTATAATAGATAATAGGTTAGATATAAACTTTAATTTTACAAAACAGACATAATTTATATATTTAAAGTTTGCCCTAATTTATTGACATCCCTAATCACAACTATAAACAATTAACTTAATTACGTAATATTTCTCTCATATTATAATGGGAGAAGTGAAGAAGTACTTATGAGCTTTAGATAATTATCTTGGGTCAAAAATTCACTGAATCTTAGAAAACTAGCTAATAATAATTTATCTCATTTAATTGTAAGTTCAGTCCCACTATCCAACCATTTGCAATCAAAAGGGTTGAAATCTGATTTTTGTCTACCGCTAGAACACAAGAATGAAAGGAAGTTGTATTGGCATCACCTTCCTTTATCCATCTCAATAATCATGCTTCTGATGAAGAAGCAATTATAACTCCTTTTTTGGCTTCACCTCTTAAGGATTTAATCCAACACTAGCTGCCTTTTTCATCCAACCCGTTCAATTTTTTTACAAGAAATTCGAAATGAACTTTCCATACATTAATACATGTATAACTTGATTATATGGTCAAATAATATATCAAGATACATACCAACTTATAACCTTTTTTTTACATTAATTAGCAGTACATTAAAATTAACCTCTTCATTTTTTGTTATTACGAAGAAGAGCTTTTAGTTTTGGACAAAATAATTACATTATAACAAAGGTTGTATAATAACACTTTTCAATATACATTACGCACCGGAAAACCATTAAAATAACTTTTAATTTTGTAAGGCCAACTTGATCCTTTTTTATTTTGTTGAGAAATATTTTTAAGAAAAATTTGTTATACTTTAATTCATATGAACTTTATGTAAAGCAAAAGTAGAATACAAAAATTAAATACTAATGTTGTCTTAGTATTAAAGTCAAACTAATGATATCTTAAATCTAGATGATAAGTATAATTTTTTTTTATCATTTTCTAAACAATATTCTTAAAGTTTAAATATAACGAAATTTCAAAAAAATATTATTTTTTTAACTAAAGATATTTAAACATATTTAAGTATAGATTATAAATACAATGAGTCTGTTTATTTAAATTTTTCCTTAAAAAATTTTTAATAAAACAAACAGTTTTCTACTTTTTTAAATGTGTTTATGTAGTTTTTTTAATAAATAAAAAGTTTTCTATTTTCTTTAAGAAGTAACCCTTATCTATTTATTAAAGAATATATTACTTTTTAAATCGTAGTTTCGCATAAACACTTTTTTTTTAAAAAATTTAAACAAATAGACCCAATAATTTAACAGATTTAAAAAAACATTACACATGCTAATTAAAGAAGCAGTGTCGTCATCCCACTTTTTTGGCACCATAAAGTTTATTTACAAAATCTTATTGAGGTGGAGTCATTTGTAAACTATGATGGTAATTAAGATGCATATTCTTGCAAGAAACGCGCTATCATTCATGATCATAGGAATGAACGAATAAGTCAGCTCTTGCTCATATGAATAGAAGACAAATACAAAGAAAAAACGACGAAGGCATGCATTAAAGAACCCATTAATGGCTTCCTCCGTATATGAAAGGAAAGTGAGTTTTAGAGAGGGTTAGAAATTTAGAGAGCTTGCCGCACCAACTTCTCGTCTAACTAGCTCCACGATGGTTATAATCCTTCTTTTTCTTTTCTTATGCCACAATCGTCAAGATTTTCGTACGTTTGTTGTTACTATATGATTTTCATGATCAACATCTATATTCGTTGAAAATGAAACCGGTGAGGGAGGGGGAGTAATAATAATCATGATAATAATACTTAAATATATTTTTAATCTTTTAAATTTAATTAGGGTAAATTATTTTTTATTTCTTAAATTCAAAATTATTATTTTTAGTTTGTATAATTTTTAAAAATTTATTTTAATACATCAAGTCACCAATAACATATTTAAAAGTGATAAATTGAGACAGTTATACTGTATCAATTGAGTTTAATGTGATGTTTTTACTAACAAGGACATCAGTAGGTAAATTTTATGTGATAGTATTAACCAAATTTGAATATAAGGACTAAAACAAGATTTTTTAAAATTATAGAAATTAAAAGGACTAATTTTAAAATTGATAAACTAAAAAAAATTACCTTAAATTTGAGGGACTAAAAATATATTTAAACCTAATAATAATATATCTATCCCTACTAGCAATGTCACTTACATACAAAAAGTGTTATTATACACGATATATGTATGTATGTATATGTGTATGTATATGTGTATGTATGTATAAATTCATTTGGCATATACTCATACACAATTTTAATGTTAATTTTAAATAAGATTCAACAACATATATTATGATAATATAAAGTTAAGGTACATTTTAGTAACAAACATTTTGTCACATAAAATGTGTGTCACTACAAGATAATTTTTTTTGTAGTGTATGTAATATTACAAAGTGCATTCAACTCACATGAAATTATTTCAAAATTAACTAATTATCATAGATTCCATACTAACTAATGATAAGACGTGATAAAATATTTTGTTCATTTCTCTTTATTCTTAACATGATATTAGAGTCTATTTTAGAAATTTTTAATTGATAATAGATTTATCAGGTCACCCACTATTGGGTCACTATCGGACCATTTGTGCTTGTTCAGCCTAAACTTCACACTTAATATGTTTAATTATCGATGTAATAAAAGTGTGTTGGAAATTTCACATGCATAAGCTAGTGAAAAGATCATGATAAGAAATTTTGTCATCTCTCTTTACTCTTGATATTAATGGTTTGAATTCAATCTTAAGTATACTCAAATGGGGAGTTTTGTCACTCAAAGTATAGTTTCATCTTACTCAAGTAGAATTGCTTCAAGTGAAGGATAGGACACCTATGGTTGATGAAAAAAAAAATCTATGTAATTTCTATATACCTGCTATCTATTCGACTTTGGCACAAGTTTAATCTATATTATGACTTTTCATTAATTAAAATTTATTAAAAAATTATAAATTCGTATCGAAGGTTCATTGAATAAGATGTGAAACTTTCAATGATTATGATTTCAATAAAAAAATCCAACCATTAGGTAAGAGTTATGTTCACATGAATGTATTATAGAGAGTGTTTTTAGTATTTCTCTCCTTAAAAATCATATATAAATGTAGTTGATGACCACAATTAAAATTAAAAAAAAATTGGTAGGTTGTGGTACACTTACAATCCTGTCGAAAGACAGTTAAAAGAATCAAAGTAGTGATCAAGGAGATCGCTTAATTGCTTGATTATAGCATATAAGTATTGTAAATTTTCTTGGTACTCATGTTTGATTCTCATAGATAAATAAAAAGTTGAAATAGTGATTAAATAAAGAGTGCTTATATCTGAACACTTTTATATATTATGACACTTGTCATATTTTCTATCTTTTCTCTTTCATTACATCGTATCTTCTACCATACCTACCTTCTCTCTTCCCTTTAATCTCTTCATACGATTTAAATATACGGATCATGCAGGTGGATTGATAATTTCCTCAAGTAAAATATTCTGTATTGAAAACCTCGGAATACAATTCATAACATTATATCACAAGTTGGTTTAAAAATCAAAGTTTACTTCTACAGTAACCAACCACTAATAAGGGTTGACAAAAGTTTTATGTCATTTGCCATAAGAAAAAAATGTGTACGCTTGTTTTAGTCGTAACACGTGATGAGTTTCAACTTCTACTAAATGAACCTTGTTGTGGGCCACGTACACATATATTCTCACCTTATAAATAGATAGCTACCCTTTTAGGCTTTTTGTGTAGGAAGCATCCATATCCTCATCCCACATTTGAAATTGAAGGAAGTGACTCAGCTTTCTTCTTCAAAGAAATTAAACACAATAACTAGGATACCATAAAATAATAGAAATGGGGAGATCTCCATGTTGTGATGAAATTGGTTTGAAGAAAGGACCTTGGACACCTGAAGAAGATCAAAAGCTTATTAACCACGTTAAAAAATATGGTCATGCAAGCTGGAGGGCTCTTCCAAAACTTGCAGGTATGTACTACTTCATGGATATTTATTATAGTGTCAGAAAACAAAACTCGTAATTAATTAGTTTCTTCTCTAGGTCTCAGCTATATATAATAGGGGTGATCATCATTTGTATTTGGTAACAGGACTCAACAGGTGTGGCAAAAGTTGCAGATTAAGGTGGACGAACTACTTGAGGCCTGACATTAAAAGAGGCAAGTTTTCTCAAGAAGAAGAAAAAACAATTCTGGATCTCCATGCCATCCTTGGAAACAAGTAAATATTCAACATTAGTACCATTTTTCATGAGTTTTTTGTTAGAGAGTTGCTCATCAATAATTTTTTTTTTTGTAATATTCATTTATATATGGGTTGAATGTACAAAAATAAAAAAAATAAACCTTCGAACCAATAGTCATAGTTTTGCGAATGAGATAATTAATCTTTAATTTAAAAAACTATCAAGTTGTTTTGAACTACATGATCCTTATTTAACCCCTATATAACATGTAATTAATCAAGTGTTATCAAGATTTTTTATAGATTGAAAAACTTAAATATATATTATATATAATTGGTTGAGATCATAATATGATCATGAATATACTTAATAATTTCTTCTTTGAAGTAATGGGCTAGGAGATATAGTGGGAAGATTAATCCTTGAGCTTTTTTATAGTTTTTTTTCTTGGAAAGAACCATTTTATGTATTATGCGCTGGAATGGATTTATTCCATATGTATACAAATGAATCGCATTAATTTGATCATTCTGAGGTTTATATACTCAAAAAAAAAATTCTCCTTTTTGCTAGATGGTCCGCAATAGCAAGTCACTTACCGGGTAGGACAGATAATGAAATCAAGAATTTTTGGAACACCCATCTCAAGAAAAAGCTAATTCAAATGGGTTATGATCCAATGACTCACCAGCCTCGAACTGATGATATCCTCTCATGCTTTTCTCATCTCATAGCTCTAGCTAACATGAAAGAACTCTTAGATCTTCACAATCACCAACCATGGGAATTTCAAAACCTTGCAAGGCTACAAGAAGAGACAATCCAATTGGCCAGGCTCCAACACTTGCAGCAACAACACCTCATGCATCCACAAGCTTCAACTGAGGCAGGTCCTAACACAGTTAATAGTATAAACAGTACCTTCATGAACAACGGCACCATCAATGTTTCAAATGGTGTTTCATATGATGATCAGTTTGAGAACATTATTGTGTCATGTGATGGAATTGGCAGTGTTCAATTTGTTAATGATTCCATCCCTTTCTCTCACATGCCTAAGTTGACAACACCACCTTCTTGTTCCTATGAAGCACCATTAAGCAAGGGCATGGCTCAATTTTATCAAGGAGAAAGTTATAATCCCAATTCTCCATGGCTTCTTTCATGTTCAAGTACTACCCCTTCTTCTCCTTCCCATGTGGTTCCACCTGTGATGGAGGCTTCATTGACTAACATGGAAGATAATTGCACTGTTTGGCCTGAACTCATGCTAGAGGACCCTTTGTTCAAAATGATTTCCTAGTTTGAGATTAATTTGTGTAACGTGACATGTATTTTAGTTATATACTAGCTAGTCCTATAATCTTACAATGTTTATTAATTCCTATGTTATGTGTTTGTTTGTAATTGTATACAATGTTCATTGTTATGAGCAGATGCATGATACTCTTAAAAAAAAACTGTATTTGTTTTTCATGAATGCATGAAATGGCTTTGGTGGCTTTGCCTTTATGGTATCGTAACTATCGTTTCAATGAGTCTTAAAGAGAAGGAACGAAGTGCTCACTTCATGCGATGCAGAAACAAAAATGATGAAAAATGAAATTATTAAGGACCTTCAAAAATTAAGTGCGCCAATCTATTTGTACACTAATTAATTTGCATGGTTTCTCATGCATATCTTTTCATCACGATTTAAATCTATAGTCCCACCTACTAAAGTTATAAAATTTTCAATCATTTTAGGCTACAGTTAAATAACAGCAAGAAGAAATTATTACAAAACTCAGTTTTTTCTTTGTTATATATATATATCATCTTTTTTTCTGTTTCCAACCTAACTTTGATAGTTGTGGACTGGGTAGTATATGTGTTTGTTTGGATAATAAAGTTTCCCCAGAAACACTTTTTAAAAAGAAAAAGAAAAATAGAAAATAAATTAAAATATTTTTTTAAAAAATTCAAAATTATCTTATATATGACTTAAAAATACAAATTTTAAAAAATTAATAAAAAAAATATACAAATTAACTAACTTTAATTTTTTTAAAAAAAGTTATTTTATGTTTACTTTTTATTTTTCTCTCTCAAAAGTATATCCAAAGAAATTTATCTAAACAAATTATATCAGATAAATTTTGTAAGTGACGGAAGAGGATTCCAATAATGGGAGAGGGACCCAGTAGTTAGGATTTCCAACTACACCAACGTCAAAGTTGCTTGGATGGTGTAACTCACGTTATAAAAAGTTATTCGAGCTGATCAAATTAACAATTTACCCTCTTAAGTATATTTAAATTAACATAGTATTATTTTAGTGTTTTATTTTAACGTTGTATTTGGATTGAAACTTGAAAACACTTTGAACCCTGAAAATAAAGCATCACTCGGGGTTTCTTTTTTACCTAAAAGGTGCTATAATTGTCAAGGTATAATTAATTTTTATCGTAAAAGACAAAAAAATTAGCAGGTTGAGGCAATTGACTTTTACTCGAATGATTAAGAAATATAGTACGTACTTACTAAGTAATATGTGCAACATGGCTTCAACCAATGGAAACAAAGGCTATAATGATGTGTTTTCTATTGAGCAGGTGGATTATACTATTCTTTTCTTACAAGAGATTGACATAACTTTTCTTATACTAATCACACCCAATCTTACTAATCAAAGTCGTTGCCTAATGTATTTGTGTTAACAGGACAATTGATCTTATTCGTGTGGTACGTTATAACAAATAATATAATAAAATAATATTTTTTGACAAAATAAAATAATATTATTGAAACATTATAATTGAGATAAAGAAGTGATGCAAATTAAGGACAGTTGATCAAGAAAGAAACAAAAAACAGTCGAGTAGCACGTTAAACATGAAGGGAAAAAAATGTTAAGGTAACAAGACTCAAGTATAAAAATAAATTTGGTTTTGTACTTTTGTGAGAAAACAATTGTCAACTTTTCTGCGTAAATATTGTTAGTGATAGAAAATTACTCGAATAACACTATAATAAGTTGAAAGTCAAATGGGACATGCTTGTCATTTTTCAAGGCAACAAGAATGGCTAAATTGTAAGTTTTTTGAAATAGATGACAAAGAACCTAATCCGACACTTTTGTTGTTTATTAATTTACATGGCTATCATGCAATTTTCCTCCGGATACAATGTTTTCGTTTTATTTTATATTATGTATTATGGTTAGTCGCGGTCTAATTTATAAGTTTAAAACAAATTTCATGAATACATTTTTTATAAAATAACATTTTATTTTAATTTTCTAAAGATAGAACTTGAACATATATTTATTTGTATCTGTAATTAGGAGCTTGTCTCTTTTACATTGGTATCAATGTATCTAAGTATCTTGTGTAGGATTCATATAAGTGTATAAAAGTGTGTGTGCGTGTGTGAGACAAAGTGTAATGCTATTACTATACACTTCTTAAAATAAAATAAAAAAAATTAAAAACCCCAATACTCTAGACTCAACATTTTATAGAAGATTAAAGGGGATAAGAATTATGAAATATTCCAACACATAAGGAGTTAAATTTTATCCTGTGTTTTATAAGTTGGGCTACCACTGATTCTGATCGATACACTTTCGCTTTTGAAAAAATTAGTTATATAGTTTGGTCAATAAAAGCATACATACTTAATATTCAATATACAATGTCGAGACAAGATATTAGACGTCCTTGAGGAGACCAAATGGCCAAATGGACCACATTATATGATGGCTAAGTTAAACAAATTAAATAAGTGAAGGGATTGTGGTGGGACAGATAAGAAAAGAGAGAATATTGACAATGATTGAGAATGGAAAGAACCATGTTATAACATTAATCAGTGGAGAAAATGAACAAATTAAATGAGACAGATAAAAAAAATGAAAAGAATCATGTTGATCAACAACAATATTTACACATAATTGATACTTGGTTTAAATATAATTTTCGCTCATATAATTTTATCTATTTTTAAATTTTAGTCTTTATAAATTTTTTTATTGTTATTTTATCTTTAACATTGTATAATGTTTTAAAAATAAATTTTATTGACAAATTGTTAAAAAAAAATCATATGTGAGTATCGAAATACATATTATATTTATTATATTTTAATTTATTATTTTCACATAGATAAATTAACTTTAATATGTTTTAGTCAAAAATTTAAAAAGCATTATCACCAACAACAACTAAAACACCATGTTCTATAGCCCTAATAGGATGTGTGTGAAGAATATGATGAAATGACAACAATGAAATATTTTTTGAAATTTTGTTTAAAAGAATTTAAAATTAATTTACTTACATAACAATGATGAAATAAAATATAATAAATATAATACGTATTTTTTTGTCATATTAATCCAAGATGATTTGATATTTCATTTTTATAAAACAAAATTGACGTAATCTATACATTTCAAAATATAATAAAATATGAAAATTTTGATTACCTTCAAGTTGTTGTTTAATTTTAACAAAATTTAATATAAACATATAAAATGATATGATGTTATAATTCAATGGTTGGATTTACAAAATCCACATTTAATATAAAGTTATTAGGTAGTATAATACTTAGTAAAAGTTACACCGGTGTCGTTTGAACCATTCTCTCTCTCTCTCTCTCTCTCTCTCTCTCTCTCTCTCTCTCTA